AACTTCCCAAGCAGGAAGTTTCATCACACAAAAGCTAGCGTACGATCGCCTAATGCTGAATCATGTTTGAGCTTGTGCTATTGCCTATTGTGTGTATGCAATGCTCATGTCATGGGAAGTGTGATAGTCATAGATAGACACGAGGCTAATCCAGCCTCCTTCTCTTGCTCAGTGGCTCTTCCTGCACCCTCTCTCTCTCTCTCTCAGCCACAAAAAGTTCCTACTTACTTTTCTACACTCGTTCCTCCTATTCACGAGGTTGGTTGTTTTGTTAATTTCTATAGACCCCATAACCAGCACAACGCTGTGTTTTGGGACAGTCTATTGAATGTCTTATATTGGCCATTTCGTCAGCGAACTCAAATTCTTTGACTTACAGACCTTTACAAGCTGTTTTATGTTGGCATAGTCTCTTGCGAATGGGTAGGCAGGTCTTGCCCACATGAGCACAAAACCTTGTAGCAGCCTGATCTAAAAAGAGGGTCTGAATATTCTTTCAACGAAGGAACTAATAAAGAGAGTGTTAATTTCTCTTTATACATTGCTCTTCATGTTCCATTTCCTTCCAACCAACCTTCCCTTGGAAATGGAGAGTCATGTCACAATATGTCACTAAGGAATTCTTCGAATCCCAGTTTTTATTCATATTTCACGAATTGTCTCCAACAAACATTTCCTTCGAAATGGAAAGCCATGTCACAACAACTCTCCAAGCAATTCTTCGAATCCCAGTTTTTATTCATATTTCACGAATTGTCTCCAACAAACATTTCCTTCGAAATGGAAAGCCATGTCACAACAACTCTCCAAGCAATTCTTCGAAGCCCAGTTTTATTCCAATCTGGCTGAATGCCCAATAGGAGAACCAGAAAGTCCATTTGACCGAACACCTGACGATGCCCTCAGTGCGAAAGTTGCGAGAGACGGTCAAAGTCGTCAACTTCTACAGCCATCCGTCGGCAAATGTGAATCAGTTCTTTTAAACCCTGCACTGCCCAGTGGGCAAGAGAGCTCTGAGGTTGTAGCTCAGTTCGGTTTGCTCGTTTCTTGGTTCTCGGAATAGTCAATACTGAATGCGTATGTACACATAATTCTATCCCCAGAAGGTCTGTGGCAGACATCGAACTATTGCATTTGCCGTATCGACATGTGTATAAATGTTGCTATGCCTCTTCTGACCAGCCACGCCAGAGGCCATACCGAGAAATATTCAAGAATGTGCCATGTCAAAAATCCGACTGTGAAAAAATTAGTTTGTCTAAACTATGCGCCACCATAGCCAGCAAAGAAAATATTTCAGTGAATACGATAAATTCGCAAATCGAGATCAGATAACGTCGATGCAGACGCAGGCAAGGGAATGTGGCAACACATTTGTGGTTCAGATGGCTT